CGGGGCTTGACAGAAGGGGCTCCTCCTGATGGTGGTGGGGAGGTGTCCCTTGGCATAGACATTGTCCCATCACCTGGTAGCTCCCAGAGTCTATTATTGAAACCTCGATGTTGGAGAAACCCTGTCGGGCAGGTTTAAGCCAGAGAGCTCCCAACTTTGTTCTGTTTTCAAGACTGGTGTAGCTGTTCTGGCTTCCTTGCATTTATATGAGAATATTAGAGTCAGCTTCTCAATTTCTGCACCAACAAAAAAATGTTGGAATTTTAACAGGGATTATAATGAATCCGTAGATCAATTTGGTGAAAATTTCCATCCTAACAACATTAAGTCGTTGATCCATCTACAGGACACCTTTCCATTTATGTAGGTTGCCTGGAATTTCCTTCAGTGATGTTTGTAGTTTTCAGCATATAAATTGTGTACTTACGTTACATTTATTCATAAACACTTTTTTTTTCAGATGCTATGGTAAATGGAGTTATTTCCTTAATTTTATGTTTGGATTGTTTATTGTTATTGTATAGAAATACACCTGAATTTCATATATTGGTCTCGTACCTTGCAACCCGACTGAGCTTGTTTTGTAGTTCTAATTTTTTTCATGTGTACTGTGTGGAATTTTCTCCATACAAGATCATGCCACCTACAAATAGGGATACTTTTACTTCTTCCTTTCCAACTGAATGACTTTAACTTCTTTTTCTTGCCCGGTTTCCCAGGCTAGCCTTTCCATACACTGTTGACTAGCAGGCATAAAAGCAGACATCCTTGTCTTATTGGAAGCTTTCCATCTTCACAGTTGAGTATGGTGTTAACTGTGGGGTTTTTAGGTGCGCTTCTCCAGGTTGAGGAAGTTCTCTTCTACTCCTAGATTGTTGAGTGTTTTATCATGAAAAGGCATTGGAGTTTTCAAACATCTTTTTTTTTTTTTCATCAATGGACGTGATTGTAGTTTTGTCCTTAATTCTAGTACCATGGTATGTTGGATCGATGACATTTGATGTGTTGAACCAAGCTTGCATTCCTGTAATAAGTCCCACTTGGTCAAAGTGTATAATCATTTTTCACATGATGTTCAATTCAGTTTGCCAGAATTTCATTAAGGGTTTTTGCATCTATATTCATGAGTAATATTGGTCTGTAGTTTTCTGTTCTCTTGGCGTCTGGCTTTGACATCGGTATAATAATGTCTTCATGGAGGGAACTGAGAAATGTTCCCTCTTCTATCTTTTGGAAGAGTTTGCAGGATTCATGCTGATTTTTCTTTAAACATTTGGTAGAAATCACCATGAACCCATCTGGTGCTGGCTTTACTTTAAAGGAAATTTATTTATTTTTAATTTTTAAAGTATATTTGATTGATTATGTCATTACAGTTGTCCCAATTCCCCCCCACACACACACACATGCCTTTTTTTTATTACTGTGTCAATCTCTTATAAATCTATTCAGCTTTTCTATCTTTTTAAGTCAGATTTGGTGGTTTTTGTCCTTGTAGAATTCGTTTCACTTAGGTCATCTCATTTGTTGGGGCCTAGTTGTTCATTATATTCCTGACTTGTTCTTTTTATTCCTGTGAAGTTCACGATGGTGACCCTCTCTTATTCCTGGTGTTAGTAATTTGAGTCTTTTTTGCTTAGTCATTCTAGCTAAAGGTTTGTCCATTTTTGTTCATCTTTTTAAACAGCGAGCTCTTAGTTTCATTGATACTATTTTTTATTTTCTGTTCCATAGATTTCGAATTTAGTCTTAATTATTTCCTTCTTTCTGCTTTCTTTGGATTTAATTTGCTCTACTATTTTTGTGTCTTAAGGAAGAAGGTCAGGTCACTGATTTAAGATATTTAATATACTCATTTACAGCTATAAATTTTTCATATAGTCATTTATAGCTATAAAATTCTGAGCACTGCTTTTACTGCATCCCATAAGTTTTGGTATGTTATATTTTCATTTTGATTCATCTCAAAGCATTTTTCTAATTTCCCTTGTGATTTCTTCTTTGCCCCATTGGTTATTCAGGAGTGGGTTGTTTAACTTCCACATATTTGTGAATCTTCCAGTTTTCCCTCTGTTTGATTTGTAGTTTCTTTCCATTGTGGAATGCCTGTAGAACATACTTGGCATGATTTAAATCCATTTAAATTTATCGATGTTTGTTTTACGTTGTAACATGTGGCCTATCCTGGAGAGTGTTCCACGTGAATTTGAGATGAATGTATATTCTTCTTGAATGTATACATTAATGTTTTTCATCAGATTTGAGAGGTTTTTGGATGAGTTCGTCAGATACTCTTCCTTCCCCTTGTTGCCCCCCTACTTCTCCTAGCACTCCTACTATGCCTACGTTGGCAGGTTTGATGGCGTGCTGTGGGTCTCTGAGACACCGTTCATTTCTCTTTTTTCTTTCTGTTCCTGAGTCTGGAAACTCTCAGTTCACCTACTTCAAGGCTGTCGAAGTTTTCCTTCTTCCTGCTCAAATCTGCTGTTGAGCCCCTGCAAGAGAAGTTTTCATTTTAGTTACTGTGTTTCTCAATTCCAGGATTTCTTTTGGCTCTTTTTTAGACTTTTTACTTTTTCACTCTGATATTCTATGGGGAGAAATTATTCTCATACTTTCCTTTAGTTTTTTAGATTTTAAAAAAACTTCTTCATGCATATTTCCTTTTTTTTCATGCATATTTCTAAACGGCTGATTTAAAGTCTTTCTAAATTCATTGTCTGGAATTCCTCAGAAACAGTTTCTACTGACTGCTCTTTGTCCCACGTACGGGCCATACTTTCCTGTTTTCCCTGCTGGTCGAAAGCTGGGTATTTGAAATAATATAGTTTTCCCAGACTGGTGTGGCTCAGTTGGGCATCATTCCACAAAGCAAAAGGTCTCCAATTTGATTCCTGGTCAGGGTACATGCCTGGGTTGTGGGTTTGGTCTCCAGGTGGGGTATAGGGGAGAAGCAACTGATCCATTTATCTCTTGCATTGATATTTCTCTCCCTGTCTTTCTCCCTCCTCTCTCTCTAAAAATAAATAAATAAATAAATAAAATCTTTTTAAAAAAAAACAAGGAGATACAATTTCAGATTTATTAGAATGGGTATCTTTAAAATAAATAATATATATAATGTAATGTAATATAATGTAGTATACTATACTATACTATACTATAAGTTTGACAACTCTAGGAAACATTCTTCTCCCTTTCCAAGTCTGCTTATTGTTACATTTATTGTTGTTTTTGTTTAGTGAGTCTTCTCAAATAATCTGTAAAGTCTGTATTGTTTGTTGTGCGTGGCCCCTGAAATAGCTGCTCAGTTCGCCTAAAGCCACCTAGCGACTGCACAGAGGTTGCCTTAGGTGCCTGTGTGCAGTAAGTCTCCCCGTCATCTCTGATGGGTTCTGTGGGTTCGTGGGCACATCTTCAACCCCCGGTGGGCAGTTTACAACTCCACCTCAGCCTTTACTTCTTGCTTGCTCAGAGCCTCAATATCAGGTGGAGGTGAATGCCCAGAGCATTCTCAAGGCTTTCCTGAGCATGCAGAACCCCCTCAGCACAGCCCAGTGCATGGCTGTGGTTTTTAGATTCCCAGAAAAAAGTAGGAGCTTTTGCAAAGCCCTAGGTATCACATTCCCCAGCTTCTCCTTTCAAGCTTATTGGTTTATTTATTGTTTGTCCTGTAACCTACAACCTTGGGCACTGTGATGCTCAACAGTTGCCTCTGATTGTTTTGAACAAATGCCCCAAGGCAAAGGCTACACACATTGGCTGAGCTCTGATTCAGGTAAAGTAAGGACAGCCTTGGAAGTGGGATCTTCCAGGAATGCACCAGACAGGTCAAATAATGCCCATTCTCTGGGAGGGGACTTAGAAGGAGCTCCAGGCCTGCTCTGCCTCTTCTGGTTGCCAGGCTGCTGGCATTCAAGGCTTCTCCAGAGCTGGTGAGAGGGAACAGAAACAAGGCAGGTTAAAACTCCACAGAGTTCACTGTTCTCACTGAGATCCAGTCAGTTTTCTTACATAAACCCTCCCTGGATTGCTACCAGCCTTGGTTCATTTCCAGAGTCCTAAAAAAGGTTGGTTCTGGCCGTTTTTCCCAGTGTCCTCATTGTACCTAGGCAATGAGGTCCTTCCTCTGCCATTTCTGCAGCATCACCCACAAGGTGGTTTTGGAGGCTGCACATGTATGCTGTACTCAGTGGCTTATGAAGGGAACTATGCTTGTGCTTGGTGGTTTGCGGGGGCCGCTTTTCTCTGGTTGACTTGTTTGTGGATTCCTTTGGTGGGAGCCCATGAGGTCCTTTCTGCCAGCCAGGACACCCACATTTTAGTCTTGCATCTGTCATGGGCTGAGTAGATGACTCTGGAGCAAAGGACCTGAGATTTCTGGAATACCTACTGCGTGCAGGGCTGGGCTCTCCCTGCGCATGCAGAGTATTTTAAGTACATAATGTCATGTCATTCTTGCAACAACGAAGAAAGGGATAATGCTCCAATTTAACAGATGAAGCAACTACTAAATGCAAAGAACTCAGCACGGTGCCTGCTACACATCACAAAATTTCATATGTTGATTTTTGCGTTACTGTTATTCCAACTGTTATTATCATCAGAGGAGGAAGTGGAGTTGATGGGATTTCTCCAGGTCATTTGAATACCAGCCCAGGTCTGTCTAGTTCCAAAGTCTACCCATATTCCACTTCCCCATTCCAGCTCCCTGGGGCAAATCCATTCCCACTCTGGGTCTCACTTCCCTTACTCCAAAGTATTTGGACTGACTGAAGTTATTCAATCAACAAACACGTAGTGAATTGTGTTGCTAAGATCACTTTCTGGATGACATTGTGGAGGTGTGTGATTCTGTGAGATCACTTGCTTAGAGTCACATAGGTAGCGTTCTCTTGTTTGGCTTAAAAAAAAATAAAGCAGCAGGTGGACTGACAGGTGTGTAACCTAGTATGTGTCTCTCTCCCCCTCCCTTCTGGCTCCGTCCCACCCCCCTGTAGAGGCAAGAGGGGACAAAGCCAAGTGGGTGTTCACCTGGCCACTCATCTTCCTCCTGTGCATCACCATCCCCAACTGCAGCAAGCCCCGCTGGGAGAAGTTCTTCATGGTCACCTTCATCACTGCCACGCTGTGGATCGCTGTCTTCTCCTACCTGATGGTGTGGCTGGTGAGTGGTGGGTGCAGGGTGGGCTGGGTGGACAGACCTGCCCAGCACCTGCTGGAGGTGGGAGAGCAACTTCAGGCACTGGTCTGCCACCTTTGGTAAATTGACCTTGGCTTATATTTCAGTGAGCAGGGAAACTGGCAGGGGTGCAAGCCGCTGCACTGTACACCAAGGTGGCCAGACAGATCAGCGTGGTACTTGCAGGCAAGGCGGGCACAGGGGTGGGGGGGTTGAACCTGGCAAGAGGGGCGGGTAGTGTGGTAGGGGTGGCATGGACTGGGAGCCAAGAACTGATGCCTTGACGATGGCTCTGGGAAGAGCTCTAGAGGGCTGAACACTAGGACCGCAGGGAAATGTGAGGGAGGCTGGAGTCAGTGGGAGATGAACTCAAGCCCTCCTATGCTCCTTGCCAAGGGGTGTTCCTCTCCCCTTCCTATGCTCAGGCACATGTATGAACTGTATATAAACTCTATATAAGCTTTCAATCTTCATAACAACCACTTTCATTATGCCCATTTTACAGACGAGGAAACTGAGGCACAGAGATTGAGTAATTTGCCCAAGTTAGTTTTACAATTAGCATCTGTCACACAGTGAGTTCATCAGTTAGTGTGTCCTAGGGCAGGATCAGAACCCTGGTCCATTGTTCTCCTGAGTCCACAGTCTCAGCCACTATCCTGAACTGCCTCTCAATTTGTGACTGGAATTTTTCAGCATCTTTCGGATTGAAATTTTGCAGTTGGAGAGGTGTCAACCTAGCTCCTGTTAGCAGCTCTGGTCATGCATCCCAGCTCTGTGTACCAACCTTCCTTAGCTGAGCCAAGCAGGAGCACCCGTGCCCCTTTGCTGTGGGCACCATTTCCACAGGGTTCTTCCTCCCCTCCCCCTTCTCGTCCTCCCCCTCCCCCATTTCACATGGAGAGCCCAGGAGCAGAAAGAGGAGCTGCAGTTACAGGACAGTTGCATCTCTATTGTGGTGAAGCTCACCAATCAGCCACGCACGGCTTTGCACGGTGACTTTCATCCTTTGTTATCTCAGGGCGCACATCCACTAGTTAGTAAAATTCTGCAGCACACCGTGGGATATATTGTTTTTTGCAAATCTGATCAAAAAATTGTTATAATGTTGATTCTTTCACTCTGGACAGCTATGGTCATGTTGGCTGTTGTCACATTTTTAATTTGACAATCTAAGGGCAGGGAAGTCAGAGCCCCTGGCTCAGTAGTCAGGTACTCCATGTTTTAAAAATCCCTGAGTCTCACCGGTTGAAAAGCGTTGTCATAGCGGTACCCTCTAGTCACTTCACTCTCCTCCTGACACCTGGCGCCAGACAGGGAAAGGGCACATGAGTCTCGGCTTCAGAGGCACAAGGGCCACCGTCCCCTTAACCCCAGAGGAGCAGATTGGTGGGGAAAGGTGTGCTGTGGGGTCCCAGGAGGTGGAGGTGAATCCTAGTTTTCCCACGTGGGATCCATAACACTCAGGCAGGTGACTCAACTTCTCCGGACCCAGGTCACCCCCTCTACAAACCGGGGAGGCTCATCACTGTCCAACAGGGTCACTGGGAGACTGGGAGGCCTCTGGGCTGACCTCACGGTCTGAGCTGCAGCACAGAAAGTGGCTTGTAACTGTGAGTGTCAGCTGTTTTCACCAGGAAGTACAGCCATCGCGGACTGCTCCCTGCCGTGTCAGGTGAAGGCTAAAGTCCCCACAGGTGCTGGTGTGGGTGCGGGAGGTGGGGTTGTGGGGGAGCAGGAAGGAGCTGCTATTCAAACTTCCCAGAAAGGGTGATGAAAACTATGCCTAAAATGAATTGAATTTGCAAACTTAAAATTTTCGAGTAGAATTAAAGACCAGCCCATCGTTATACTTGATTTTTCAAATTTCTTACTCTACTTTATAGATTATGCTGTAACAGTTGTCCTGTTCCCCCCCCTCCGCCCCCCTCTCCATCTAGCATCCCCAGTCCTTCGGGCACTCCCCCCACCATTGTTCATGTCCATGGGTCATGCGTGTAAGTTCTTTGGCTGCTCCATTTCCTATCTGTGCTTCACACCCCCACGGCTATTCTGTAACTGCCTGTTTGTACTTCTTAATCCCCTCACCTCTTCACCCATTCTCCCCACACCCTGCTCCTACCTGACAACCGTCAAAACACTCTCTGTGTCCATGATTCTGTCTCTGTTCTTGTTTGCTTAGTTTATTTTTTAGATTCAATTATTGACAGGTATGTATTTAGTACCATTTTATTTTTCATAGTTTTGATCTTCTTTTAAATAAATTCCTTTAACATTTGATATAATAACAGTTTGGTGATGATGAACCCCTTCAGTTTTTCCTTGTCTGGGAAGCTCTTTATCTGCCCTTCCATTCTAAGTGAGAGCTTTGCTGGGTAGAGCGATCTTGGCTGTAGGTCCCTGCTTTTAATACTTTGAATATTTCTTGCCTGTGCCTTCTAGCCTGCAGAGTTGTTTGTTTTGTTTGAGAAATCAGCTGACAGTCTTACGGGAATTCCCCTGTAGGTAACTAACTGCTTTTCTCTTGCTGCTTTTAAGATTCTCTCCTTATCGTTAACCTTTGGCATTTTAATCATGATGTGTCTTGGGTGGGCCTCTTTGTATCCATCTTGTTTGGGATTCTCTGTGCTTCCTGGACTTACATGTCTATTTCCTTCACCAAATTAGGGTTATTTTCTTTCATTATTTTTTCTTTTCATTTAAAGATTTTATTTATTTATTTTAGAAATAGGGGAAGGTAGGGAGAAAGAGAGGGAGAGAAACATCAATGTGTGGTTGCCTCTCTGCAACCCAGGCATGTGCCCCGACTGGGAATCGAACCAGCTCCCCTTTGGTCCACAGGCCAGCACTCAATCCACTGAGCCACAGCAGCCAGAGCCCATTATTTTTTCAAACAGGCTTTCAAATTCATGTTCTTTCTCTTCTCCTTTCTGGTACCCCTATGATGTGAATGTTGGATCTCTTGAAGTTGTCCCAGAGGCTGTTTATACTATCCTCATTTTTTTTGGATTCTTTTTTCTTCTTGTTCTGTTGGATGTTTTTTGGTTCCTTATGTTTCGAATCATTGATTTGATTCTCAGCTTCATCTACTCTACTATCATTTTCCTATAAACTGTTCTTCATTTCAATCAGAGTATCCTTCGTTTCTGACTGGATCTGTTCTTGCTGCTGAGGTCCTCACTAAGTTCCTTGAGCATCCTCATAACCAGTATTTTGAACTCTGCATCTGATAGATTGCTTATCTCCATTTGGTTTAGCTGTTTTCCTGGAGTTTTGATCTGTTTTCATTTGGGCCATGTTTGTCTCCTCATTTTGGCAGCTTCCCTGTGTTTGTTTCTGTGTATTAGGTGGAGCTGCTATGACTCCCTGTCTTGGTGGTGTGGCCTAATGTAGTAGGTGTCCTGTAGGGTCCAGTGGCACAGCCTATCACCCAAGCTGGGTACGCGAGGTGCACCCGTTGTATACCCTCCTCTTGTAGTTGAGCCTTGGTTGCTGTTGGCAGGTCAATGGGAGGAATTTACCCAGGCTAGTGAGAGGCAAGGCTTGGCTGTGACCACTGACCACCACCCTCCATCCTCTGTGGAGGATCAGCTGTGCAGGGGCAGGGTGGTGGTGCTCCAACATGGTCTGTAGCTGTCCACTGGGTACACTGGCCCTGAGGTTTCCTGATTGGTACAGACCAAGGTCAGCCCCTACCTGTGTTTTGCCCAGGGCACCCTGCCTGAGCTATAAAGCAATCTGAGATGGCTGCTACTTGTGCGGAGCTTGGAGATTTCTGGGTGAAGCCAAGCTGTTGAATCTCGGCTGGCTATTGCTAGTGCAGAGCCTGGGGCTCACTCAGGTGGCTGTTGCTTGTTTGAGAGGGTTTAGGAAGTTGCGAAGTGTGAGCCAAGTCCAGCCATTAATATGGAAAAGCAGTTTGTGCCTGGGGCTCCAGAAGTTTCTTCCACTGACTCAATCCCTGTTGGTTTTCACAGCCAGGAGTTGTGGGGACTCATCTTCCTGGCACTGGAACCCTGGGCTGGGGGCCTGGTGTGGGGCTGGGACTCTGAGATACCCCTCTGGAATTTTTATCCACCACACACGGGACCAGCCTGTTCCGCATCTGCACCCCTCCTACCAGTCTGGACGGAAGTGGTTTCTTTAATTCCATAGTTGATGGACTTCCATTCCCCTTGACTTCTGACAGTTCTGACTGATGGTGGTTCCATATTTTAGTTGTGATTTTGATGTGGTTGTGTGAAGAGGCGAGCCATGTCTGCCTACGCTACCATCTTACCTTTGATTTTTTTAAATCCAGTGATTTCTCTTAATAAAATGCATTCCCAAAACAACATTGCAGTTTTAAAACAAAGTCTTTCACGACATTTGAGTGGGCATGAGAATTAGGGAAGATCACATTAAGGAATGTGTGAAATTTTTTCTCCTCTAATTACTGAAAAATAAAGGTGTTGTAAGTCAGTTCTACTAATTGCCAGTGAGGTTGGACATTTAATAACACTCCCACCCCCACTTCCTAAAGCAGAGTCTTTGCACCTGGCCTGGCCAGGAGTCTGAGGCTCTCTTCCCTGTGGCTTTGAACTCCAGCCGACCTCAGTGTGGGAGGTGCAATGGCCTCTGCTGCAGAAGGTAGTTGCGTGCCGCACGTTAGCCTGGCTTCTACCCAGGCGAGATGCGCCGGCCTCTCAGCCTTGCACTGACTTTCACTTTGCCCCGATGGGATCGCCAGGGAGCCATGAAGTCTCAGGTGCCCCCCCCATACCTCCACCACTGTTCACACCTCCCACCCCCAAGTCTTGGGGAAGAAGTTCTTGAATGCCTGTGTCAAAAGGGAGAGACATTTGAAGTGGGTCATCCGGTGCAGCACCCTAGTGAGAGAGTGGGAGACCTAGTGCAGTCTCCCTAGCTCAGATGGGGAGACCGAGGACCAAGGAAGACTAAGCATCTGGAAGGGTAGGAGGGCCCAGGGCTGGGATGCAGGACAAATGGCACTTGGGAAGCATCTCTGCTCCCAAATGATGTGTGCACACTCGCTCACTCCTTCTCCTCACCCCTCCATCCTTCAAACTCTTGGCCATGTAGTTTAGTGATTTAAGAAAATAGATGCATCCCAGGAATGAGCAAATGACCCAGGCTCCTAGTTTTATGATGTCTAGCATCACCCACTGAAAACACATCAGCCACAGCCTGCGTGTGCTAGCGGCATCTCCATGGCCCATGTGGATTGAGCACGGGTGGCTCAGCCCTCCTCAGTGTGTGTCTTCCCTCACAGCCCAGGGCAGGCCTGCCGGTGTGTGCTCTGCCCTGCGCCCTAGAACATCAACGTCCCACTGTCCTGGGGACAGGCCTGCTCCCTAGCGCTCCGCTCTGGGGCGGGGCCTCTTTAAACGCCCCCACAAAGCTCTGTTCAGGGACAGATGTCCATTTAGTCCAGGTGCTCTGGCTGCCCTCTAGGACTGAGGTTTGCACTCACAAAGCACTTCATCTGGGGACTCCGATAACCCCCATTTCTCTGCACCCACAGATAGCGAGACTAGTGAGTGAGAGAGAAGGGAAACACTCATCAGTGAACATCTTGCACAGGCCAGGCCCTGTTGCCTCCCATTTTCTCACTTTAATTCTTATTCATGAGCCCATTTTACAGATGAGAAAGCAGAGACTCAGAAGCAAGCCAGTTTGTCTCAAGTCACACGACCATTTGCTGGGGTTGGAGCCGTCAGCCGGGACAGGAAGGATCCTGAGAGGGGCCCCAGCTCCCACTTTCCAGATGGGGAGGCAAGCTCGAGCTTGAGGGTGTTTTGTGTGGGGTTGTCCGAACGCCTCTAGGGCTTCCCATTGGGCTACCACGAGGACCCCAGCCACCTCTCCAGTGTCAGACATTTGTCAGAGGACCGTGTGACTGTGCTCAAGACCCTCAACGCCAGGAGTCCCTGCCTCACTGGTGACCTTTGTGTCTGCCGGCGCGTCCTTACTTACCTCTCTCACCCTCCATTTCTCTAGACAGAAAATGGGCATAACGGTAGTGCCTCCCTCACCGGTGGGTGGGGAGTAACAGGGCACCTGAGATTGGAAAGTAAAACACCTGTGCACCTGGTACACAGCAAGCGCCCCATAAATGTTACTGATGTGCAGTGATATCGTAAGAGCCAAAAGAGAAACCACCTCAATATCCAACATCGAGGGATGGGCTGAAACGCTATCACCATACGATGAAATCCACACATCAGTTTAAAGCAATGTAGTTGAATATTTGAGATAGAAAGGTAATCACGGTGTTTTATTACATGAAACAAATGTTGCAGAATGTGTGCTGGTAGCGTAATCCGATTTCACTTTTTCTAATATAGCAAAAAGGTCAGGGGTGTGTTCCAGGGCAGTGCTTTTCAAACGCGGTTCCCAGAGCGGCAGCCTCAGGGTTCCCACCCCTGGGAACCCCTTAGGGATGCAGTTTCCTGGGCGGCACCCGGACTTCCTGAAGCAGACGCTCTGGAGGCGGGGCCTGGCCATCTGCATTTTAACGAGCTTGCCCGAGAGTCTTCTGTATGTTCACGTCTGAGAACCACTGGCTGATGGGAAGTTGGTAGTGGTTGTCTGTGGGTCTTGAGAAGTGGTAGGTGATTTTTAAGTTTTACTTTCTTTTCTAAAGTTTTTAAAACAGTGAATGCGTATTATGCATGTCATCAAGGGGGAAAAAGTACCCCCAAAAGATGTTTTGAAAACAAAACCACATTCCAGACGTTTTCATTGGCTACAGCAGTGCCATGTTCAAGTTCAGTACTCTCAGGGTAAGCAGCACCCCCCACCCTCTCTCTACAGGTGACGATCATCGGGTACACATTCGGGATCCCCGACGTCATCATGGGCATCACTTTCCTGGCGGCAGGCACGAGCGTTCCGGACTGCATGGCCAGCTTAATTGTGGCGCGACAAGGTACGCACAGGGTCTCGGCCCCCACCGCCCTCGGCGGTGCCGTGCAGGCCCCTGCCCTCTGCCCCGGGCACAGCTCAGGCTCTCACGCCCGGTAGTTAGAGGAAGGAAGCCCACGGAGGAAGCTGACGTCCGGAAAGCACATGGCCCAGGTTCCTCCCGCGGGGAGGACGGTACCGGGACAAACTCCAGACCTCGAAGAACATTTGCTTGCATGCAGTTGTATATAAATGCACTTGTTCTGAAGGTCACCAGTGTGAGATTGAAGAGAGCTGAAGCCCAGGCTTCTTATAGCAAATGAGGTGGGAATGAGAATGTTCTCGTCCCAGGAAAGCAAAGTGCGGCTGCCCTGTACCACTAATGATGTTCCTGTGCTGCTTCAGAGTTCTAGACCTTGTACACCGTTTTGGTTTGTTTAGTGGTTTTTATTTGGGGCTCACAGAGTGACCTGGGCTTATTGGTGAGGAGGAAAAAAAGGCTGCAAGGGGCCACCTTTATTTACTGCGGCTTTTCTGCCGGCGAGACAGCATTCCGGCCTGGACTTCCGCAGGTCTCCCTCTGCAGATGAGAGCTGGAAAGGCGGGGGGGGGGGGGGGGGCAGTTTAGGGGGCGTCTGGGTCTGAATAATGGAGTGAAGGCTCAGAGGAGACAGGAGAGGAGAGGAGAAGCACCCTGAGAGACAGCTGGCTTTGGAGATAGGGAAAGGAGACATTCCGTCAACGTAGGAGCAAGGGTGGGTTGGTTGGGAAAACATGGGTTGAGCAGAAGGCCAAGGTGGGTGTGTGTCTGGCGCTAACCTGGAGCCGTGCGAAAGTGAAAATAGGGACACAGGGTGGCAGCTAAGGGGAGTGGAATTCAATAGAGTGACCTTTGAGGTGAGTGTATTCATTTTGTGGGGGAGGGGAAATATCCCCCTTTTCTCTCTAAGTTCTTCTGGCCAGACTAATAATCAAATGACGTGAGACATTAGCAAGGGAGAATAACCAACTTTATTATGTATATACATATGGGGGTGCCATAAGAATATGGAGGCTCATGTGCCACCTTGAGCTAAGGAGAAGAGGGGTGGGTAGTGGTCTGTGACTTCAAAGGGCAGAAAGGCAATTCACATGGAGGTAAAAATGCAAACTTCTGGACGTCTGTTAGGCCTTCTTTAAGGACGGGCCCGGAGCAGACTTGGATCGGGCAGGCCTCGCTAGGATCCTCCCTGTGTCACACTAGTTCATGTTAAACTAAAAGGCAGGAGCTCCGAGGGCCCGGCTGGTGCTCTAGTGGCGTGAACATGGGTCAGACTCAGCCATTCCAGCTCCAGGGACACACACACGAGAGAGGACACATCTGTCCAGAGCTGCAGCTGGCTGGTGGGCACGATGGAAATCAGCAAGCATGAAACCATGCAGTTTGAGCAACTGGCCCTGGAGTCCAGGCTAGTGAGGGGCAGGGGGACAGTAGAGGGTTGAGTGCTAGGGCGGGACGGGGGTGGGTGTCCTGGTGAAGTGGAAGTAGGGGCTCTGTAGGAACAAGGGACGGGTGGGGTTCTGAGGAAGGACGTCGTCTCAGAGTAGCTACCGTGGAATGTGGAGTGCAGGCTGGGGCAGCAGAGGGCGTACCTAGTTGTCACAAGGGTGGCACTGATGTGATCAACAGAACCCAGTACACAGGGTTAAAGCATAGACAAAGTCTTCAGGGCACAGGCTCCAGAAACCGCTGCAGGGCATCAGCTGCTCCGAGCAGGAGCCGGGCAGCAAGCTGTAACCAAGCTGCAACGCGCCGGTGCTGCTCCCGGGGCTCCCTGAGCTAGGCCGGCAGCTTCGGGCGACAGGGAGTTTGTGAGAAACGCAGACTGTCAGCCCCCCGCCCAGTGTCACCGAATCAATCTGCTTTTAGCAAATCCCCTAAGTGAGCCACGTGCTGCTCTAATTTGGAAGCACTGCCGTCAGTCCCTCAAAGATGGGGTGCCTGTGCAGAGTGGGCAGCTGGTCACACCTGAGACGCGCTCAGCCTGTCCTCCCGGACCCTTTAATACCTCCCAACCCGTCCTGCTAGTCCAGCGCCTGCCTCCGCGCCAGGGGCAAGTCTCTGGGCAAACAGTTCCAGCACATTCCTGCGTTTTACATGAGACCGGAAGGCCAGTTTCCCGGTGACGCCGCCCTAAGCTGCCCAGGTACTGGCAGTGCAGGCTGGGAGGGGGACGCGAGGCCCTGGAGGAAGGCACGGTGTCCTGGAGGTCAGCTCTGACGGTAGCGGGTGGGAGAGGAGGGGACCTGGCTTACGTCAGCAGGGTGACTCAGGCATCCAGATGCTGGTCAGTGTTGCTGCATGCTTCTCTGACCACAGCAACCGTGTGGTTGCAGGCATTTGTGCTTCAAGCTCGTTCCTGGGTGTGCCTTTGTACACGTGCCCAGTGACGACAGTCAGGACAAATTAGGGCTAAGTAGCCAGATTACAGTGGATTTCAGCCAGCGAGAGTCTCGTTGGTAAAACTTGTTATCTGATTTCTAATACCCCTCAAGTTTGAGGTCCCTCCCATGGAGTGGCCAGCACAGTACTGGACAGTGGGGCTAGAAGGTGATCACACAGCCCCCACCCTCTGATTCTTGTAACCTGCTCGGGGGAAGAGTTCACCCTTCAGAATTCAGTGGGCATAAGACCAGACGCCCTGATGAAGGCTAAGGTCACGGTGCCGTTGCCTGGGCCACAGGTATGCATCACGCCCCAGGGTGAAGGACGCTGGACCACTTGCAAACTGTGTGACCTTGGACATGTCTCAAGCATTAGTTTCATCATCTGCCACATGAGGACAGTGCCCCCTGCCTCTCAGAGCACCTGGGGGTTCACGGAGGTGACGCACAGAGTGAGTCCTCAGAGAATATTGGCTGACACACCCGGCAAGAGAACTGCACTGCACTCCCCGGGGCCACTGTGACCAAGTTCCCCAGGCAGGGGGGCACCAATGACAGAGGCCCGTCTCAGACTGGAGGCTGGGAGTCCGAGAGCCAGGTGTCAGCAAGGTTGATTTCTCCTGGGGGCAGACCTGAATCTGTTTCAAGCCTCTGTCCTTGGCTGGTAGAGCACCCTCTTCGTGTCCACGTGACTTTCCCCTGTGCTGTGTCTGAGTTTCCCCTTTTTTTAAGGAAGCCACCCTAGTGACCTCATTTCAGTTACAACCGCAAAGACCCAAACTCTAAACAAGGTCACCTTCTGAGGTGCTGGGGGTCAGGGCTCCAACATATGAACCTCAGGGTCACCATTCAGCCCACAGCAGGCCCCTCTAGACTCCATGAAGGGAAGAGGTCTTAGGCCTCGGAAAAGGGGTTTAGAAATGTCCAATCTGAGGAAGGAATTCCTGCCTGAGCAACAGCACTAAGGGAACAGTTAAGGGAAAGGACAGGGATTTCCAGTGACCTGCTCCTAGTGAGTGACACGTGTCGACTGTCCCCTCCAGGCCTTGGCGACATGGCGGTGTCTAACACCATAGGAAGCAACGTGTTTGACATCCTCGTGGGACTCGGCATACCCTGGGGTCTGCAGACCATGGTCATCAGTTACGGATCCACAGTAAGTTCCGTGCTGAGTTCCTTCGTGAGCAAGACCGACGCCAGGGGCGTGCCTGCCACAGGGATGGCGTCGGTGTCGGCCCTGTCCCAGCCAGCCAAGGGCTCTGGGGGACATGCTCCCGCTTCTCCTTGGCACCCACTTTCCAGGGAGGCTCCCAGAGCAGCCTGAGGGGTGCCCGCAGGGGGAAGCCCCTGTTGCCCAGAACTCATAAGTGCTCCTGCCCCGTGTCTCAGCCCACTAGCATGACCGACCCCTCCTGGGCCTTTTCCTCAGAGAAGCGCAGGGAGACTCGAGTCCACAGTTAGCTGATCGTCCACAGCCACATGCTCACCTTGAGCGGCCGCCTGTGCTTCCGGATGGGGGAGGGCGGGTGCGGACGTACCCCCAAGCAGCTGGGCCCCGGCAGCTCCGGGACTCGGGTGCGTGTTTGCTGTTGCAGGTGAAGATCAATAGCCGGGGCCTGGTCTACTCCGTGGTGCTGCTGCTGGGCTCCGTGGCGCTCACCGTGAGTGTTGACGCTCCCAAAGCAGAGGCCCCACCCAGACTTCATCTCACCGGATTCTGCCCGGTCACTCACATGTCCCCCCGCCTTCCCCGGCCCCTGCAGTGGGGGACAAAGCCGAGGAAACATGTCAGTTCAGACACCCCCAGAATGTCGTCCCCCACCACTGCTCTGTTCCCTGAATGACTGAAAGGCCTCAGAGGAAGAGAATGACTTTTCCTCTCTCCTTGCTGCCCAGTTGTCTCCTCTCACTGGGAGACCCGCCCGTCTGAGCTGGCAGATGGACACAGTGGTCAGGCCTTGGGCCTGGCACGTGGTGAAACGCAGGTCTCCGTACTCCATGTGCCCAGGGCTGTGCCCAACCCTTTACCTCTGCTGACAGAGGTGTTCTTACAAACACCTGATGAGATACCTTTCCCATTTTATGGAAGACGTCAAGGCTTGGGGGTTGAGCAACGTGTCCACAGTCATGTGATCCACCCCTCTAGCACCTGTGCCGTTGCTCCGATGCGGCGACTGGGAGCCCGCCCCTGGGGAGCCCCGATTCAGGGATAAGAGAGAAGGCGGCGGAGGGAAGTGTGGGAGGGTCTGGGAAGAATTTAGAATGGGAGCGTGCTCCCACCTGTCTCCACACACACACGCACGCGCAGAAAATGGTGGTGCAAGCTGAAGTTTGCCAGACCGTGGGCCAGCAGGAGCCTTGAAGTTTTGCTGAAGCGGGAGGGCCGAGGACACCAAGTTCCGAGGCAAAGGGAACACCCAGTGGAAGACCCTAGTTGTCCCTAGAGGAGGGCTCGGCTGGCGCGGGCCATTCCCTGAGGGCAGCTGGAGTGTGTCCCCAGCCTCCCCCTGCCATCAGACAAGTCCAAAGCCTGCAGGGCTCGCGCCCTTCAAACTGAGGATGTTCGATGGCAGCAGCGCCCCTCTACTCTCACCCCCGTTTTGGAGGAAGTTCGGGGTTCATGGTCTGTGTGTTGTCTTCCGGGGAAAAGGCCTCTGGTGCTCCCTTCTCTGCCCCCAGCCTGATCCTCACACTGTCTCCCCCCGCCCCCAGGTGCTCGGCATCCACTTGAACAAGTGGAAGCTGGACCGCAAGCTGGGCATCTACGTGCTGGTCCTCTACGCCGTGTTCCTGTGCTTCTCCATCATGATCGAGTTTAACGTCTTCACCTTCGTCAACTTGCCCATGTGCCAGGAAGACGACTAAAGCTGAGCCGCTGCCCCACGGGGAGCCGTCCTGGACACCCTGGCACTAGTGTCCCCCCTCCTCGCCCCTCCCACTACGAGCCTCCTTCAGCGGCGGCCACTGTCCCTTCTTTCATACACTGGAAGGAAGAGCCATCGTGTTCTCTGGCCTTGGGCCAGGCTGCTGGACATCCTCCTCCTCCTCGGAGTCCTGCCCCTCAAAAGGCGAGATTCGGGGGCCGCTATTTGAGCAGCTTCGCAGACCCCTGAACTGCCGGTCCCAGGGATGTGGCGTGTGTCTTGGCTCTTTAGTCGGAAGGGCTTCCGTGTGCAGCTTGTCCTTCTGTGTCACGGCAGCATCTTCAGGAGAAAACGGTCGGTGAACATGAGGTCTCCTGTACGAGTACGGCACAGGGGTGCTGTCTCCTCTGGGCCCAAGCGGTGAGTTCCTCAGGCGCCGGGCTGCGAAGACCTCCGACCTCTGCTGGGGCGGCGCTCACGGTTTGGAAGGGGCAGGGCCTCAACCTGCTGGGGGTGTGGGGCCGTGGCATCCCCGCCCTTTTTCTGGGAAAACTGGAAGAATGGAAACAGTTTTTCAGCTTTTTTATAGCAGAAGAGAGAAAACAAGAATATTCCTCTCATTTTTATTGATGCATTCAGAGAATGAGCGATGAAATATTAAAAATAAAATGTCATATAGATCATCATACTTGAAAAAATCATTCCATCTAAAAGGACCCTGGGGGGACCCAAAAAGGTGATACTCAGGGACCGCAGACCCTCTGTGTGTCATGTTGCATGGACACCAAGACATTCGGTCTGGAAGTCAGGAGTCAGAGACCAGCGTCCTGATGGGTGCTAACTCAGAGACACGGCGGAGATCGTGGTTTGCAGCCACACACTCCAGACCTTCCGTCTGACGCAGCACACCGTCACTTTGGGTTTGTCATTTCTTTGCTAATGCGCTACTCGCAAGACCATCAGGTTGAAAGGCCCAGTTGTTTATGCGCCCAGCAGATTTCATAGCCTGCTGAACCGGCGTGCGCATGCCGGAGGGTAACGGTCAATGGCAGGGAGGGAGGTTTCCTGAACCACGGCAAACTGCTCCCCGGCTCACGGGGACCATAACTTGGAATTTTTAGAGCTCAGTTTCTTGAACCTTAGCGTTTGCTACACAGGCAAGGCCAAGGATGGGAGGCCCATTCAAAAATAGAAAAATATTAAACAGCTTTCGACTGCTTCTTAGCTCTCAAATATATATATTAAAAAGATTTACGGACACAAACCAGTTGCGGTTTCTGAAAAGAAAGCACAATTAATTTTATATAGAGGTATTTTTATTTTTTTAACGTTTCTATTGCAAAAGTTGATCAGATTCGATGCACTTTTTACACGGAGCCGCTTTGCGCGGAAGGCTCCGTGGGAATTGCCCGTGACGGTGTGAGGAAAGAAGGTTTTCAGCCATTCACCAAGAACCAGTCATGGGGATGAGTTGAAATCCAACAGCTAATTCCTTCTTGAGACACAGGGGCTGTGACCCGAGGTGGGATTTGTGGCCTGCTCTTCAAGTCCACCCGAACTTCAGAAGGAGGCAGTGTCCGAGCCTGTGAGCTTTAAGTTAGCGAGAACTCCATCACCCGGCTTCAGTCCTGGGTTTCCGTCAGTGTTAGTAGCTACGCCACATGAAGGCTTCTCTCTTTGTTGCTTTACCTAGACAGGGCTTGGTAGTCTTCAAATTGAGGACAAAGGTGATTTTCCTATGAATTTAGCTAAGCAGGAGGCCAGGGAGTCTGTAGGTTGTCATTGGAAACTTAAGATGCAAGGGGTTTCTGAGAGACACTCTGTTCTCTTAACATAGCTGGCCCGGTCCCCCCTCTGATCCCCACCGCCGCCCCAACACCCCACCCACCAGCAAGTAGCGGAGTGGGTTGGCCATTTTTGTGCAGGGGGTGATCTGTATGGGTGTGTTTTTGCATTTGTGGTTGGTTCTTATTATTTGAGTTCCAACTTCACCAGATATTTAACTGACTCCTGGGTGCCCCAGCTCATACCCTAATATATATCGCATCCATGTCTTTACGTTCTTCCTGGTAAAGACCAAAAACTATTTCTAGCTGCAAGGTGCAGGCCACATGGCCCCGGTGATGATGTCCCGCTGGTGTCACTTGTCTGAACCCTTGTGTAATCTTCGGAGAACACAGCCTGATTACCAGCCTCTTCCTCAGCAGAATCCTTCTGAGACTAAAAAATAACATTTTTCATATGTAGAGTGCTCTTGGTTAACTCTCTTATGACCTTAATGTGCCAAGATAACTTCCTTAAAGGATTTAGGCATTTATTGTGCTTAGGAAACTATATATACACTGTAGGTGAAAAATTCTTTTTAAAATATTTTTCATTACAAGTTTAAAAAGTTGCTTGATTAATTAAGACTTCATTATTAAGTAATGCTTTTATCACTAGGCAGGAATAACTTCCTTTATTTTATCCCCAAAGCTAATTAGCAGGGGTAATTACACTGCAACAAAAATAGGCAATTATTATTTAAAAAAATAATAAATTTAGCTCTTGTCATTGGAGGCAGAAAAGAAAAATGAACTATTATACACAGATAGAAAATGTCTACAGAAACAGGAGCCAGTGGTTCCTGTCGATTTCCCGTTAGGAACTCGTCCTTGCCAGCCTGAGCATGGTCCTGCTGGAAGCTGTGTGGGGTCTTGAGAACCTGGCCCTGGAGGAAGGTTCTGGGTCAGCTGCAGTGACAGACTAATAGTCCAGGGCACCGGGGGCAGGTCAGACTCATCCCACCCTTCCTGTACCCCGCCTCACCTGGCCTCTGCTTCTGGTCTGACCGTGTGCACACATCTTGCTGCGCTTGCCAGCTCCTGAAACCGCCCCACCCACCCACCACCTGTTAGGGCCGTTTCTTGCTTCTGCCAGGCAGTCCGCTGCCTTTACAGACCTGAGCAGCTGATGAGGGCCTAACCCTCCCAGAGTCAGACCAGGTGGGGCGTGCGTACTACTCTGGAGCAGCCCTGCAGACTCCGACCAGAGACGCCGCCCTCCTGGGCTGCCTCTCTTCCCTTTGGGGAATGATGTGGAAGCCGTATAGCGGCAGCACACGCTGCACTCAGAACGCCGGAGTCACACACAGGCTGGGGGCTTGAAGGGGCTTGGGCCCTTCTTTCCTCCCGGTGTTTCTCCTCCCTGAAGCTAGGGCCGCTCCCTGTCCTTTAGGTGGGGCGGGCTGAGGGGAGATGGACTGGGAGAGAGAGAGTTCCTCCCCAGGTATGGAATGGACCCCTGGGGTTAAGAGGCAGGGACAGGGTGGGGGCTGCAGGCAAGCAGCAGAGCCCCTCAGGACGCAGGGCAGGCACTGTGGGCTGGGCTTGGTCTCTCCCCGTCCACCCCACTGCTCCTTCCCTGTTGCCCTGATGTTCCCCGGCTGGAGAAAACAGCTGGGCTGTGCGTTGGCACCTCCGGCAAACGCTTAGTGCTGGAGCACCCAAAGAACTCCCTGCTTAGAGGAGAATCCCCATGATGTGAATATTACCAGGTCCCTCTAATCCCCTCGGACGTGGTTTCCATGGGAGTTTTCCTCCCCCTTCACTGAGGCAGGGAGCAGATGCGTCCGCTGAGACGGGCCCAGGTCTCAGCAGCTTCATTGCCACGTCTTGCCCATAGAAACTTCCAGAAATTTCTGAAAATGCTCTCTGGGCAGTTCTTGGGTGGCAGAAAGTCATCATCCCTCACCCCAACTCCAAAGCCCTGCCTCCCTGGCCCCGCCCTCCCTCCCGTGGACCACCCAGGGTGAGCCGGACGCTGGGTGCCCCAGCAGGTGTGAGCACTCGCCCTCTGGCTTTGCACTCTGTGCTGAGCATGTGAGCCCCGCAAGGCTCCCTCGGGGCTTCTCAAAGCACAGAGAAGGGGCCCCTGCAGCAGTGGGTAAACCCCTCTGTGGGGGTCCTGTTCTGTCACCCCCTCAGTCACGTGGGTGACAGAACAGGAGGGTCTTTCCATGGGTCCAGCCCACAAGAAAAGGACATGAGTGGGACACAGGTTCTGTTGAGCACCTGGGGCGTGGCCTCTTGCCAACCCAGCTTGGGTGGAGCCCCTTGGCTGTATTGTAGAGAAAGCTCCCCACAGGGTACCATCTGCAGGGGCACAGATTTTTAAAAGGAATCTAAGTGGTTGCATTTGTTTCTCTCTTTTTTTTTAAAAGATTTTTAAGTTTATTTATCCTTAGAGGGGAAGGGAAGGAGAGAGGGAGAGAAACATCAATGTGTGGTTGCCTCTCGTGTGTCCCCTGCTAGGAACTGGCCTGCAACCCAGGCATGTGCCCTGACTGGGGATTGAACCTCGCTTGTTTGGTTCACAGGCCCGCACTCAATCCACTGAGCTACACCAGCCAGGGCTGCATTTGTTTCTTAACAAAGGAAAACTACACCGGGGCCCTGGTTTTTCGCTTCACTTCCTGCCCAGTAGCCAAGACAAGGCCCACAGAGCTGCCCAGCCTCAGGGGAACTGGTGCCTGCGTGGAATTGGGGCTATTTTTTTCTGTCACAACAGGGAAGCCAGATGAGTGGTCTTCGAGCTTTGCCGTTCTGTGGGGATTTAAAGAATTCTAGCTCTTCACGACTAATGGCTCCCGGCTCCATTCGTCAGCAGGCTTCTCCACGCACACTGCGGCCGGGCTGACACGTTCTCCTTGCCAGTCTGGGAAAATGTCCGCTCCCGAACACCCTGGTCCACGCCTGGGGCCAATGAGAATTGAAAATGCCCCCTGCCCGGTGACAGGCCAGCCTTGGTGGTGTGGCTTTTCCATCCGTCTGACTGATGGCTCTGGACTGGCTGCTCCTTGGTTAAAACCTGATGACAGATGCGGGCACAATCCACACCGCTTCCTGCTGTTGCCAGAATCCAAACAGTTGCTTTTTATGCAACATGTCAGTTGGGACTTTTCCACTGTGCAAGCCAATGAAACCCCAAATCCCGGAGAAGGTACGTGCCCTGCCCACCCCCCACTGGACAAGAGTTTATGTGACGCTGTCTAGAGAGAGTATGTGAAGCTTCGGCTTCTAGTTGCATGGCTTGTGCAGGGAGGGAGAGTCCCAGACAACAGAGCCTTCTCCCTGCTCCCACGCCAGGATCCCCAAGGGAGGGGACGAACACGCTGTCCCCTTCCCCAGAAGGAGCGAGGCCTGTCCTCCCACTGAAAACGCCCGGGGTGTGAGCAAGGCAGCTCTGTGTTTCCACATCAGATATCCCAGTGGCGGCGCTGGCCACAGGGCAGCCCAGGCCTCACTTGCAGAGGTTCCCCTCTGGGCTGCAGACCACTTCCTGGAGCTTCCTCCAGGTGGCTTGGACTAAGCGTATCTGGGGACCCAGTGGCGAGAGCTGTGGCCGAGCCTCTGTGGCAGGCCCTTGGGGAGTTTCCTCGGGGAACTGCTAGTCGGGGCGGCCGGGTGTCCAGTTCCGAGCACACACTCCCTGGCAGGGCGCCCTCTGCGTGTGCCTCCCGTCCAGCAGATGCCAGCAGGAGTAGCTGCTGGGTGTCTGAACACAAAGAGAGCCTTCATTACCTAGAGAGGAATCAGGGCTGCCGGCCAGATGGGGCCAGGCCCAGGAGCAGAGGCGGGAGCTGCCAAAGAAAGGGCCGGGCGAAGAGAGGCCAGGCGCGTCCAGACGCCCGAGAGACAGGCTGGGCATGGTCTCTGCAGTGCCACGCAATCTCCCCGCGGCCCCGCCATGACCTGCCAAATAGCAGATAGAATCGGAGGGCTCTCGGGTCCAGGAAGAAAGCCCCTTGGAAACAACCACGGCAAAGGACTTGGGGGACTGCTACACGTCACCTTAGTCCCCTGCAAGACACATCTGGCATGTGGGGCTGAATGCTGCCATCTTTTCTCACTCTGCAGCAGGCGGAGCTGGAGCAATGAGCTGAAAAGTTGTAAATAATAAATATATTTATCCCGCTATTTATTTTTTCAATCACCGTGACCTCCTGCACTGTGAATGCTCTGTTGATATGAGATTCCTAGTTTAATAAAATGGTTACTACATTGGAATGAATTGATACTATTGGTTCCTGAACACTGGCATGAGTTTATTTTTATTGTGAAGAAAAATCTAGAGCAAACAGGAACTAAATCTTTGTCAGGAACCTAGCAGTCAGTATTGTAATGCTATATGTCAAAGTCTGTACACCGTCGACAAAGTAAGTGAGCACA